GGTAGAAGTTAACATTGTTAACATTAATAATAATAATAATAATAGTGTAGTTTTATATAGCGCACATATCCATGTAATGTAAGATGCTCAGGGCGCTTGATATGTGGACTAGGAACTCGATCAATGACTTTCTTCGCCCCTAAGGGTCCCTTCGTGTCCGAGCTACCCAGTAACCCGGTACCAGCAACTCTCGTCGTCCACCACAAGAGCTGTCTGTTCCAGTACACCGGGACATCCCCCCTCCTCGTCTCGAAGGATGTACTGGGTTCTTTATAGTGCACACGAGCCACTGTATACACTGGGCCTACGGTTTATAGTCCTTATCCGAGAAGACTTGTTCTACCACCAGACACAAAGGCGAGCGTGCCGTTCAAACCAGCGCCGATATTATGGCTATAGCTTGCGGCACCCTGCTAACCGCTCGGCCATTCAACTAACATTGTCAAAGTACATAATAGTCTTACTGTAATTACCTTTCCTTGATGATGACATATCAAAGTTAGTGTCTGGTGGGGGATAATTTTTACCATATTATAGTTAAGTTATGTGGTTAAGCCTAACCTTAAGTAGTAATTCCTGGCCCCAAAACCTTGACTCAGAAGTACCGGGTTGGTGTCCGGCGAGGGATAGCTTTCCAATAAGTTTTTACTATTGTTTATTTTATTGTATTGCTAGTTACCTTTTTCTTTTTGTTATTTTACAGAGTTTTTGCAGGAAAATATTGTAAAACAGCGGTAATAAAAAAAATAATATATATGTATATATATATATATGTATATATATATATATATATACATATATAAGCCTATATATATACATATATAGTTTTCCACTGAGGTTTTCACTAATGTTTATTTTACTTTATTGTGCTGGTTACCTTTTTGTTGTTGTTATTGTACAGTGTTTTTGCAGGACCATATTGTAAAACAGAGGTAAAAATAAATAAATAAATAATATATAGGCCTATATATATTATATATGCATATATGTACATATATATAATTATATATACACCGGTATATATATATAATTATATATACCGCGCAGAAAGCCCCCTAGAATATCTTTCAATATTGCTATTTAGTTGGAATATGTGATAATTTCCGAAGGGTGTAAGGATCAAACCTTTTCAAGACTCATTACTGTATTTGAAAAATATTCGAAGTAAAGATAATTTGCACTTAGACCTTAGATTTAGATCATGTAGCTATTACTGGTTATTTATGCTTTATTACACGATCTAGAATCCTGAATTTTGCAAATTGATCTTCTCTTTGATAGTGTAGAATCTGTGATAACAAGTATTCTAGAGGGGAAAGCTACCCTAGAATTTCCGGAAGAGAAAACACAGAGGTAAAAAAAATAAATAAATAATATATAGGCCTATATATATTATATATACATATATGTACATATATATATATAATTATATATACACCGGTATATATATAATTATATATACCGCGCAGAAAGCCCCCTAGAATATCTTTCAATATTGCTATTTAGTTGGAATATGTGATAATTTCCGAAGGGAGTAAGGATCAAACCTTTTCAAGACTCATTACTGTATTTGAAAAATATTCGAAGTAAAGATAATTTGCACTTAGACCTTAGATTTAGATCATGTAGCTATTACTGGTTATTTATGCTTTATTACACGATCTAGAATCCTGAATTTTATATTTTGCAAATTGATCTTCTCTTTGATAGTGTAGAATCTGTGATAACAAGTATTCTAGAGGGGAAAGCTACCCTAGAATTTCCGGAAGAGAAAACTGGACCGCAGGGCAAAGCCATTTTGTGCTCCGAGAAGTTATCGAACCTATGCTCATGAAATTGGTCCGACGAGTTGTGGCCGACGAAACTCGAACTGTTAAATTATTATATTACAATCATTACCGAACCGGTGTAAGTTTCAGTATTCCTGCAAGATGGTTTGGAGTGTATCATAAACATCATTATATATTTAGGATAAAGTCTAAACCATCATGCGGCAATGCTGAAACATATACCGCAAGATGGTTTAGACTTTATCTTAAACATCATTATATATTTAAAATTTAAGAGATGACACATTTAATGTGTCATCTCTTCCTTGTGTAAATGTATACGATGTGAGCATATCATGTTGATCTCTTTTCTGCGTAAGTGCTCCGAGTTATGCTGTCCCGTACATGAGTGCGAGTGAAAGGAGTTGCTTCCAATGGAATTCGATTTCGTAGCTATGGCCAAGTAACTTAAGGTGTCTACATACTATTCAACACCAGGGTTGAACCCCATCTTTTCACATATTTTGTCCTCGTTTGCATTGCTTACATTTACATTTATTTTAGCATTATCACCAAAATAACTATCACATGTGTTATATAATATTCATTGTGTATTACGAAATACGTTAAGAAACTTGAAAAATCAAAGGGTGTATAACAGTTGGCCCAAAGGTCAGTTGGTAGAGTATCCGAACCATACGATTGTGAAAAAGAAACTTTCCTAATCGGGATTCGAACCTGGGCCTTTCTGCTGTCTATACAGACGCCTTAACCAACTAAGTCGTTGAGGCTTTGTTGGGAATTCAAATCGGATTAAACCAACTAATTCCTCAAACATATATGCGCATGCGTAGTTGGACAGCACTAGTCATTGATGCTTGGCAAATAAAAGTAAAATAACAACCTCTTCTTATAAGCACTCCGCCGAAATTGGGGTCAAGCGGTAAAAGTGCCCCGGGAGAAATTTATTTAAAAAAATAATAAAATGTAATTGGGAAACAATATTTATATACATATTATAGTGAGATGACTATACATTTTGTGTAAGATATAGTATGTACCCTCTAATTCAAGACCCCTCTAATTCAGGAGACAATTTTTTAGTGGTGGAATCAAATGTGTAAGGAGGGGGGGGGGGGATCCGGCCTGGGCCACCCTAAATTTTCAAAATTATTTTTAAAATGGAGAAAGAAAGGGAAAACTGTGTTCAAATTTTAAGTATGATATGCTAGTTACGGTCATCTGGAGGTACCATAATCTAAAATGTTATTACGACCCAATGCCGTAGCCAGCTATTGTGACAGTTGTGACAGTCCCACACATTTTTTCTAATGAGTCCGCAAAGAATTGATCCACGTTTTAAAAATGGATCCAACTTATGCAGTTTTATGCATAAATGAGTCCACTTTTTGAAAAATGGGTCCATATTTCTCGCATTTAGCCTAAAATAAGTAAACGTTTAAGAAAATTGGTCCAGATTTATTTTATATTTTTGCGTAAAATTGGTCATCAACCTTTACGAAAATGGGTCCACATTATTGAATTTACGCGTAAAGTGGGTCCACCATGATATTGTCCCACACTGTTTGAAAATCCTGGCTACGGCATTGTTACCACCCCATGATGGGGTTGATGTAGTTTGGACCCTTCCTCTGTTAAAGCTCCCTTGGGCCTCTTTATTTCGAATTCCTGCATCTGTCACTGATGTCAATGAACCAAATACTTATCTTCAATTTTTTAACACAAAGCTAAGATCTAATTGCAGACCAAGCCTGGGATCACCCCAAATTTCAGGTCCCAAAGGTGGTCTAAAATTGAAGGGCGAACTAAGTATTTTAATCAGTGGCGTATACTCTGGGGATAGTGCTCGATACCTGACTGGCAAAAATGCAACAGTTTTGATATTTAGTACTGTACACAGAAAAATTTTTCTTATTAATAGAATTCTATGCAATTCAAATTTATTTCGGGTTAAAATTCGTAAAAAAAAAAAATTAAAAAAAACTACATCAAAATTACAAGAACAATAGACAAGACCACTTTGGCATTTTTAAAAAGATTTACTCACTGTATCTAGTGGTGTAGAGTAGACTGATGGGGATAAAGGATTAAGTGGTCAGAGGGAACTGATATGAATCTAACCATTGGCGGAGCCAGTGCCGGATCCGGGGAAGCAGGCTTGGGGCATGACATTCTGTTGAAAACACTGATTTGAAAATGTACTAAATTTTATTTCAATCTGAAAGTGCCATTTCTGGGATTCTAGGTGCCTATTTTAAAAATATTCTCACCTCAGCAATAACCATTGTTGGACTGAGGTGAATGTGGGTCCGTTTGGGGGTAGGGTGCTATTTTCTGACGATGGCATTGTTTGTTTGTTTTTTTTTTTTTGTGCTCGGAAAAGTTTTAGTGGTAGGGTAGGAGAGAGAGTGCAATTTTTTACTTTTCTATTCTCTCCTTCCACATGCTACTGCATTCCCTCATTTTTACAAAACAAGGCCTATCATAGCTGTTGTTAAAAACAAAGGCTAATAATAGGCACACTTGCAAGACCTGTAGGCCTATAAAAGAGAATGGGTGGTGATGACATTGAAAACAAATTGAAAGTAGGCCTACACTACTTATGTTGGTCCACCGGTAGTGTCAACAGGTTGAGTGGTGGATTCAAGGAGGAAGGGCAGCCGGCCAGGACCCTCGAAACATTTTCCAAAGTTATAACATAAAAATGGAGAAAAAAAAAGAAAAAATTATATTTCCCTTCCCCCTTTATTTCGAATTCTGGTCATTAATTAATGACACCACAACTATCAATTTAACAATGTTTCCAGCTTAAATGTATGTCACAATTAAAAAGTAATACTTCAACTCGTTTTTGTTGACACAATTTGTCCAATAAAAACAAATTGTGTTCCATTTCCGGTGCATCCAGACGTAGAAAATACAGAAAATTGTCAGACCTCACGGCCAAAACAGTGGTGGCGTTGTTGACGAGGTCTGGACTCTTTCTCAGCACCTCCCTCCTCCTTAATTCCTGGATACGCCACTGTTAATCGTGTTTTTTGTTTTTTTTTTGTTTTTTTTTTGTTTTTTTTGTCAAAACAGTACTTTTGTTCCTCAATTTGCGAAGAGTTTTTATCTTTTATAGTTATTTTAATTAAATTTCTTTGGATCAAATTTCCTGACTGAATTTATATGCTATTTTCATAATGGATTTTTCTTTAAAATGGTGACATTATTTTCTCTCTGTTATTACGTCTCTAATCGTCCGAAATAGGCATCTAATTACACCGGAGCTTGGGGGGCTTCGCCCCCGGAGCCCACACCAGTGGCTCTGCCCTTAGACCCCGCTGGGTGCCTTCGCCCGCTCCCAGACCCTCGTCCTTCGGGTTTTGGCAGCTTGGGCAGCTCTCAATATTTTACAAGACAGGATCTCCGAAGAGATACTTTTTTTTATGTAAGTAAACCATGATATAATAGGATAAACTCATAAACTGCCTTCAGGTACCTGTAATGCTATAATAATATATAAATATGAACACACTTGTTAAGTATAGGATGTATAAGTTAATTTGACAACAGTTTGTCACATATTTTTATATAGGCCTACCTTGTCGGCTGATGTTTGAATCGTCTGTGACCTGTCGTGAGGGGTATTGTATCACAGCGCGCTCATGTGAGCAGTTATGCTTCCTGGCACCGGTTGGTGTGGTAACCGATTCCTGGGCGCAGTCATTTTCTTGGCTATCAACCGTTGGTGATTTTTGCCTGGATGATTGAAGCTTCTTATTATATTGTATTGATGTTTTCCTAGAACTGACGTATACCAGATCACTTGGTTCAGACGGTGAGCATACAATTGAGCCCATTGTTTTTCAATCCAACACTCAAGCTTCAGACACTGTGCCTAGCATTTCCAAGAATCACAACTAATATATTAGATATTGCTTTACTTCTTGTAAATATGGCAGCAGCGAGCAAAGTAAGATTTAATTTTGCTGACAACCTTGCCTCCACTCTTATCATGTTCTGTCGTGTGGCGACTTTGTCGTATCGTGCAACATTCACTTTTTCATTAACACTGCATAGGAAGCATAGATGCGCTATCAAAACCAAATCAATTTCTCTACGTACCTGTAACATTTGCTTGTTCACTTGGCTAATAGATTTTTGGGAACAATAATGTGCATTCACGAGGATCGTCACACGGCAATTAAGAATTCATTCAATTGCCGTCAGGTTCATTAGATATTGGTTTTGTAACAGGCTATAAAAATATCACTTTTCGAGTTCCTACTCGGAGCTAATCAATGCTATGAGCTTCATCCACGACACATTATCTGAGCGCAGAGCGCATTTTGCTTCTGACGACGCTTGTAGAATTGGTAGTCTACCTATTTAAAGCATATTATTAAAGACCTAAAGATGAGTATCTCATTGACGCGAAACGTTTCTCCAAAGCCGTCTTCTGACCAAGAGTGACCTGTCATAGGAAACAACGACTGGCATTCTGAGTTCTAATGATTAGCTACACTAAAACGAATTTCAATTCTGTTCAACCACCTCTCTTTTTTTCATTTTTTTATTGATTAATTAATAGCAAATATAGGTCAAGGCATAGACCTTATACCGATCATTCTGATCTAGTTATTTATAAAAAAAATTAAAAATAAAATAATATATATATACTGTCTCTTATACACATCTAGATGTGTATAAGAGACAGTATATACACTCACTAGGGATTATTATTTTTTGTATTTATCTTATATGTACATTAATACTTGATATATTGAATGAATTAAGTAATGATAATTATCTTAAACTTGAAAAAAAATATAATTTTAAACAAAATTTGTTTACTGAGCGCAACATAATCCCTGCGTTTCAAACAATGTTAATTATATGCATAATTTGGTATAGATTAGTATTTAAGAACATATTAATTAAATTGTATCAGAAATCATCTGTGCTCTAAAAACAGCCTCGAAATCGCGACAAGCAATACTTCAATACAGAACTGATACATCATTAAAATTCAACCGATGAAGATAAGCTGCTCACTCGGGCGGAACAGAGATCAATTACGAATGCAACTTACGTCAAACATAGCAACACTTTCTACCGGTTACTATGATGAAACATGCGTTATGGATCTGTTGATGTTTACAGGAATAAAGGGATGAGCAAACAACATTTACCCCTTGTTGGCATCTCCTAGGACATGGCGAACAAGAAACACAAAGTATCAACGAAACACTTACCCATGCGTTCCCAACAACAAAAACCCACAATGCTCCTGAAAAATTTACTTGATAGTCTACGTTCTTTATTTACAAAATATCAACCAGTAGAGTTGATTTAACCATCGACAATATTATGATTATATGCTGCAGGTAAGACTGCAAGCGAGATGTAAAAATACGTACCCCTGTTAATGTGATAAATCAAGTCAAACTCATAGTTAACTAGTAATATGTTATGCTCTGACAACATAGACAGCAATACAACATGACTTACTTATACTCTAATTATCTAATTGCTCTTACTACAATAAATCAACAATTAAACATCACCATTAGGAATAAAGCGTGACATATTGTGGGATTTTGATGTAACTATGCTTTCTTTATCACGCGTTGTTTGTAGATAATTAATCTAATGTTTCAAAAACTATTTTGGTTTGTTCAAAGTTACAATTATCTTTCATCATCCGAGTGTATTTGAAAATGCGCTCTACATCCTGCGCTAGTTGCCATCACGTAACCTCATTTAAATAATGGAAACGCAAGACAAGAAATCGTGTTATATAACGCAAGTCACGAATTTCTGTCTAATCCACTTTAAAATTGAAGAATAATAAACCCTTAAGCTGGTTTTCCACTAGGCGATTTCATTCGCGCGAATCAAAGCGTCGGTTCGCTTCATGAGCTCTGATTGGCTGCGCATTTTTCCTTTCGCAAAAACTCCGATAGGAATGTGAACGCGCATGCACATGAACCGTCGCATTCGATTCGCGCGAATAAATTCGCCTAGTGGAAAACCAGCTTTATGTATATGCAAAATTTGGCTAGTTAGCTCTGGTACGCAAGCATCGACGCAACTTAATTGTATACGTCTAAAACGTGATTATAACGTGCGGATGAATCTTAAAATATTGTTTTACGGGTGCGAGTGAAACAGTCTCTTTATGATGCCAAGTAAATAGGCCTATGACACGGATACTCCTCGTGTCTGGATTTTAGAGAGCACTTAATGCTAAGCAAGAACGAATATGTTTACTCCAATAACAGAAACGGTTTAATTTGATTCAATTTATATCAAATGGAGTCACTCAAATCGTTAGTAAAATATCTGGGCATAATTGTCGAGATTAATTTTGCAAGCAAGTTAAGCAACATTATTAAATCAAGCTATAACATCACAATCTGAATGATACGGGATTGACTCCCGTAGGTCACAGGTTAAAAGACATGCCCATAAAAATAATCAAATATTGGAGGAAACAGTGTTTGAATAAAGGAACTATCATTATGTGATTATTTAGGCCCATATACTACAGTGCTACGCAGCAACTTCGATTTTATATGCCTATAATATTAATATTAACATAT